GATTTGTGCCCATTAAAAACCCGGGCCTGATTCCGTCCTGCTTTATACCTTGTGTTTCCATTTACAATGCAATGTGGGGTAAAGCCTGCTCGCCTGTTACATTCACTTTGCACTGCGGTACCTGACTACATCAGGTGCAGGACAATGGGGAATCAGGCCCCCCAGTGCAGGTGGGGCCAGGGACTGAAATCCAGCCCAGGTGCTGCAGGAGCTATCTGGATTCATTTCCCATCATATAGCCCTGCCCCAGGGAAGAGAAGGCTGTCCAGCAGGGTAAACTCCCTACACGCCAGCCAGCACCCAAGAAGAGAAGAGGGGGCAAGAGGTTTTCACAACACCATGTTGTGATGTTGCATCAGACTGGGGGAAAAATAAGTGGTGATACTCTTTCAGCTCCTCCCAGAACCCAACTTCCGCACACCAGGAACGAAATGCGACTCACAGCAGACTGCACTGAACTCTCAGTACGATCATCCCACTCTTTCCTTGCACAAAATGAAATAGTTACCAAGGCTGGCAGCCACCATTAGGCTTCAGAATTAACATCCAATTGAGGTGAACAGGACCAGTTCAAACCACTGTTGAGAATAGCCTACTTTAATTGAATTGTCTCATTAGCACTGACCCCCCACTTGGCAAGGCAACTCCCATCTTTTCATGTACTGTGTATATATATACCTGCTACGGTATTTTCCATTCCATGCATCTGATGAAGTGGGTTTCAGCCCACGAACGCTTATGCCCAAATAAATGGGTTAGTCTCTAAGGTGCCACAAGGACTCCTCGTTGTTTTTTCTCCAAGCTATTGTTTCAGGCTATCTGCAGACCCACTCAGACATCACCTTAGGGTGACCAGATGTCCCGATTTTATAGGGACATTCCTGATATTTGGGGCTTTGTTTTATATGGGCTCCTATTACCCCCCACACCTTGACCCGATTTTTCACACTTGCTATCTGGTCACCCTACATCACCTTCTCAGCCTACCCTCCATCCACCATTTGAAGATTATCTTCAGAACCATAAGGGCTAAAGACTATGTTTTTTTAATTGACGGCTTAGATTCTGTAGCACAAGTTGGCAGTGACCAGGACCAGGAACTAGCTCACCAATCCAACTCCTGCTTATATCAATATGAGAGGGCACTGCAATATGACGATGCAATGAATGGACGCTGGTGGCTTTGTACATCACTGTGACTTCCCTGGATGGCGAAGCAGCTCTCCAGACATTAAATTCTGGCATCCACCAATGCACAGCAGCCTAAATATCATGGTACACTAGAAGTACATAGCTCGGCCGTGAAACATTTGCTAGCCATCAGGGTTGAAGGGTGAACAGATCCTCATTCCAGCTTTCCTCCTATGTGACTGCAATTGAGAGGTATTTGCAGAGTGGCGGGGAGAGGAGACAAATGGTGGCAGTCACCATTTAAATGAAATTTTCCAGCTCTTACCCACCCTGCTGCCAGCACAGACACAGCAGGGCTGGGCAAGGAAGCACAGGCAGAGGCTGCAAACTGGGAAGTTTGATCCTGAAACAAAGCACGTCAAACAAAACCCCACTGGGGGATTCACTCCCAAGGGTAAGTAGCTGGAGAGGGAGAGAGCTCACGTAGCCAGAGCATGGGTGTTTTTAACCTCCATAGGGCCAGGTTTCCCAAAGAGCTCAGGGCCAGACTTCCCAGTACTTAGAACCCACAGTGGGGGCCAGATTTTCCAAACAATTGGGCGCTCATTTAGGCCCCTAAATCCAGGGCAGATTCCCAAGTACTCAACACCCCCACCACTTTCCTTATGATGCTGGATTTTCACTAGAGCTCAGCATCTAACTCGCAGCCAACGTGCTGAGTCCTTTTGAAAATCAGGCCCAAGTCGCCTAACCTTGCTCAGGGCTGGTCCAGACAATAGGGAGGCAAAGCTGTTAGCAGCCTGTCTACACTAGCTGCAGCAGTGAGGGATCCACCTGTAAGCCCTAGTCCCCTGCGGGCTGCAATACGTGGGTCGCTCTTCGGTTGTTGAGTTAATGGGCAGGTGCCAGGTGGTGGTCAGCTATAAAGGAGGTCAGAGCAGATGATCTTGTGGTCTCTTCTGGCTTTAAACTCTCTGGATATGTCTACACTGCAATACAAGACCTGGGGCGCCGAGTCTCAGAGCTTGGGTCAATTGATAAGTGATATGGCTCATAATAAAGGAAAACGCCAGTGTCGAGATGGTAACATCCCCCCTTTAGGCTGCAGCATTCCTTGGTTAAGGGACAGGTTATTGGCCCCCCCGCCAGCCCTACAGAATTTGCCATTCTACCTCTGCCTCTGAGTCTAATCAGTTCCAATCACCTGCTGTCAGCAGCGGCCGAGGCTGGGGAAAATAATTAAATAATTCCCCCGGCCAGCTCCGCAGTGCGATGAAAGGAAAATGATTCCCTGATCCCTGCAATGATTAGCTCTCTCCATGGCGCATGAAATTTGATTCCCTGCACGTGTTATCCTTGGACACATGTTCACCTGAGGAGATGCCAACACGCCCTGTTTTCAAGCCTGCCACGCAGAACGGGCAGAGAGAGCCCAGGAGACTCGTTCAGAAACGTGAGCAGCAGGAATATTTGAACTGCACCATACGCGACAGTATCGAAAGGACACATCCGGTAATGGTTGGGCCTGGCCCGCACAGGGGGAAGCTTGGGGGAGTGGCTGAAGCACAAGACCCAACATCAGGATTTCGGGGTTCTGGTCCCAGCTCTGCCACTGACTGGCTGCGTGACCGTAGGCAAGTCCCTGCTTCGTCCTGTGCTGCAATTTCTCCATCTGTAGAATCGGGGTAATGAGAACGACCTCACAGAAGGCTTAACGCATCCAGGGTTGTAAAACAGGGTCAGACCGAGGCATTTGCCAATGGTGCAGCCCACGAGCTTCCCAGTCTCCCCCTAGAGAGATGAACTTGGGGAATGAACCCGGCTCGATTCCCTTCCAGAAAAAAGCAAACCAATCCCTTTCCTGCTGAACCCCAACCTGCAGTAACCATGGCCCCCTCCCTGATCCAAAGACCGTTGAAATCTGTAGGAAGATGTCCTCTGCCATCAGTGGGCTGTGGATCAAGCCCACACAGTGCTAGACAGGTTGGTGCATCTGTACGCAGCACTCCCCTGCTGAGCCTGCCCCTGCCAATGCCGGATGGCGCAATGCTGCGAGCAGGGAGCTCCCAGCGGCAAGGGGTTTATTAAATGCCATCCGCGGAGGGCTGAAGAGACACGTCGGACAAATGCGGCTGTCAGGCCTCTTAATAAATAACATCCGCAGCTTTCAGGGGAAGGAGATTAAGGGCAGCGCAGAGGTGACTTCACAGGCTTGTTTACAATCTGTGAGAAACTTAATCAAGAGATCTCGGGCCAGAAGGAGCGGGCTGTATGGGAGCGAGGGAATGAAGCCGATGGAATGATGCAGAACTGGGGACAGTGGAGATGGGCACCATGTCTGGGCTGTACCACATGGGAAGGGCACAGGCTGCAGGGTGAGGAATTTACCACGTACTATGGGGAGCAAACTGTAGCCAGGTTCTTCTGCCTCCAACAGGGGGAAGGAAATACAGACATGGCCTGGTACTGGGGGCTTCTGTTTCTTAGAAGGGCAGAAACACATCCCTGGGCCTGGTACTACGTTCTCCTGCCACACAGGGGGTAGA